CGGGCAGGGCACGAGGGGGAAGATATGCTCTCTTAGGGGGGGCAATGACCCCAGCAAAGCACCCCAGTAGCAGCAAGAGGTTGGAGGCGGGTCGAGGAGCATGTGGGAGAAGCACGGCCGGGAGGCCCGGAGAAAGACACACAGTGCGGCCGGGGCGCGGGTGAGAGCACAGCACGGCCGTGCGCGCCCTACTGCATTTGTGTTGCCAGGCGGTCGCGGCAGTCCGGGCCAAAAATGTGGCCAGTATTGGGACTCCCCCTCCCCTCACTCCTCCTCCTCCTCCTCCTCCTCCTCCTCCTCCTCCTCCTCCTCCTCCAGTCCGGGCCAAACTGTGGCCAGTATTGGGGCGAGGACGCGGCTCCAAGTAAATTGTGAGAGCTCCAGCGAAGCGGCTGCTGGACTGGGCGTCCTCGGGCTCCCCCTCCCCTCACTCCTCCTCCTCCTCCTCCTCCTCCTCCTCCTCCTCCTCTCCTCCTCCTCCTCTCCTCCTCCTCCTCCTCCTCCTCCTCCTCCTCCTCCTCCTCCTCCTCCTCCTCCTCCTCGCGTTTTATTTCAAGTGCAAACCCTCCAACGGAACGCTGCTAGCGATAAGAAGTACAGACAACACTACTCCCTGGACCTCTCCTGGGGTGCGTTCTGGCCAGCACCTCGAGGGGGATCCAGCCGTGGCGACGAGGACCCTCCAGGGAGAGCAACGGTGGTGGTGTTCTTCGGGTACACGTAAGACTCGAGTTTGGAGGACTCGAGCTGGCCTGACAGGGCCGTCAGGCAAATGACGAGACTGAAGGGGCCTTGGGACACACAAATAAATACACACAAATAACCGGATTCCCCATATTTTCCAATATTTTCTGGGTTTTTGTCTCCCCCCCACACTTCCCATATTTCCCTATCTTTTCTGGGGAATTGACGATTCATTGTGTCTGTGTGTTTTGTTCCCTCCTGAGAGGCCGAGCCTGAAATGTGGCGCGAGCTCCCGCTGCGAACGCCCACAGGAACTGGACCGTCCAACTCCAGGACGGGCCCGACAAGAAGCGTCGACGACCCGAGCTCTGGCGAGACCGAACTAGACGATTCCCTGGACATGTTTCACACCCTGATCTCTTGCCTCCGAAGAAAGCGGACCCGAATTCTGGCGAGACCCGAGTTCTGGCGAGACCGAACTTGACGATCCGAGTTTTTATGTTTATGCCACTTTCTGTTCCCCTAGTTCATTCATGTCCTGACGTCTGCTCCTCCCTGGGGAGCCTCGGGATCCGGACCAGAGCCTTAGATCCCATCTTGATGTAACATCTCTCCAGCCGGAGCGATCTGTGGTGGTCCTGGGGCCGATGCTGGGCGAAAACGCCCACTGTGAGAAGAATGCAGCGACCGGATCCCAATATCTTCTCCTGCTCTGCCCTGACTCTGGATCCGCCGTACTTTGGTTGACTTTCCGACTTGTCGGAAATGCATGCCAATCGTGTGAAACAAGAGAGCGGCAACTTCTGCCTCAAGGAAATATATAACGGCTATTCCCGCACAGGCATGGCGGACACAACGACGGCAAGGCAGGGCGGAAGTCGCCATCCAGGGAGCCCGAGAAAGGGAGAGCGGACACTCCCTGCCCCCACTCGCGAAGCCGCCCAGAGAAAGGGAGGGCGAGAGGCGGAGCCGGGGCGGCGTGGCACGGCTGCAGAGCCACGCCTCCCGGCCTCTTTGGGCGCCCGAGTTATCCGGGGTAACTCGGGTCCGGGGTAACTCGGGTTCGGAATCCCGAACAACGAACCCGAGTTACCCCTGACCCGAGTTACCCCTGATGATTCGGGGCTCTGACCTCTGCTCCTGCCCTGACCTCTGCCCCCCCCCCCGGGAGGGCGCCGGCGCCGCCACTCCCGCGCCGCTCGCCGACCTCCTCCATCTGCGCCGCGGGCGCCGGCAGCAGCCCCTCTCAGGCGCCCCACCCCGGCTGGCGGGCCCGCGGGCCGCGCCACCTGCTCGGCGAGGGCGCGCGGCGCCGGCGCCGGCCGGCCCGCCGCGCCGTCGCTGAATTCGCGGGCCCCCGCTCCCCGAGAGGCCTCGAGGCAGCCTCGCCGTCGCTCCCAGGCAGAGCCGAGTCGTGCCGCGCGCCTCCTGGGCAGGCCCGTTCTCTCCGATGCTCGACGCCCGTCGCGGCGTCGCTTCGCCGGCGGGTGGGTGTCGACGCTCAGCAGGGCGGGCTCGCGAGTGCGTGGCGCACGATGGAGGGGAGTCCCTCCATCGTGCGAGAACGGCGCCCGTGCGCCGTGCCGTGCTCGGACCCCCGGCCATCGCTCGGACGCCCATTCCCTGTGCTTTTTGTTTCGGTCTCGGGCGTGTTTTTTTTTCGCAGGATGCTCCAGGATGCTCCTGAATGGTCCCCGCCGAAAAAAAATGCACACGTCCGAGCGATACCAAGCTGAGGCGGCAGCACCACTTGCCATTCCGCCCTCCTCCCGCCCTCCCCAGACGCCCCCCTGTGCCGAAGGAAGGGGGGGGGGGAGGGGGCGAGTGCGGGCGGACGGCCTGAGAGAGGCTCCCCCTCCTCGGACGCCTGGCGGTGTCCTCCTCGGCCCCGTGCCCGGAGAGCATGATCTTCATCTCTCGCGGGAGCGCGTTTCCTCTTCTCGCGGCGATCGCGCGTTTCCTCTTCACGTCCTCCTCCTATTCTTCTTCCTCCTCCTCCTCCTATTCTTCCTCCTCCTCCTCCTCCTCCTATTCTTCCTCCTCCTCCTCCTCCTCCTCCTCCTCCTTCGTCCGAGCGATGCCAAGACCCCGACATCTGGGTGCTGCGCTCGCTTCGCGCCGGGCGCTTCAAGCCCAGCGTGCGGGCCCCGGGGGCCATACCACAGGCCGAGTCCGACGCGACGGCGGCAGCAGAAAAAGGAAGGGGCCCACAAACACACAGATAAAGACACGCAAAGAACACACAAACAAATACACACGAATACATACACACAAATAAAGACACGCAAAGAACACACAAACAAATACACACCAATACATACACACACATACCTACACACAAATGACGGGACCCCCTATATTATTCCATATGTTATGGGCTTCTGTCTTCCCCCCACTTCCCATACTTTCCCCATCTTTTCCCGGGAGTCGACGATGACTTGCGTCTGTGTGGTTCTTTCCCTCCCCTGAGGAAAGATTGGGGCTCAGGGCTCCGGCCGTGACTTCTCGCGATGTTGGACTTTGTCGCACCGCTGCCATGCGGTAGGGCCCGCAGCTTTTGTCGGCCTGGGGCCCGAGAGGCCTTATCTCGGCGTACCCCTGGGAGGCGCCGGTGCGGTACGGTGCACACACACACAAATCGTCCGCGGAGCATCGCTCCCCTCCTCTCTCCCCTTCCCGCTGCCTCTCCCTCTCGCTCCCTCGCTCGCTTGGTCGCTGCCGCCTCTCCCCCTCGCCCTCCCCGCCGTGCGGGCCGTCGAGGGGCGGTCACAGCAGAGAGCGATCGGGGGCGCAGCCTCGGTATCGTCGTGTGCACAGCGTGTCTGCCCTGTGGGAAGGGTGCGCTTGTCGAGGCATGGAGAAGGTCGGGTTCGCAGGTGGACCCCTATAGGCTCTTGCCCGAGAACCTGCTTGGGGTGGTCGAGGCCGAAGTGGCCGGGAGCCGCCCGCTTCGGGTGGCCGCCCTCCGCGAGTTCCGTCTCTTTGCTCCGTCCCCTGCAGGGGGTGGCTCGGTCGCCGGGCTCTGGTGGGAGGGTCCTGCGGGGTGGCGGCGGGGATCCCTTGGGGGGGGGGCTGGCAGATCCCCAGGCCATGCCCGTAGCCACTCTGGCTCCTCGCCATCGCTCGGGCGTCCATTCCCCGCACATGTTTCGATGTCGCGCCTCTAACTTTTTCCGCGAGATGGCCCAAGAGGTTCTTCGAGGGTCTTCGCAGAAAATCAGTGCACACGTCCGAGCGGTTCCAAGGCTCAAGCCCGCCTGGGCTCCAGGCGCGCTTGATGTCCTTGCGTCGCGCGCAAGGACACGTCAAGCGTCGCGGAGACGTCCAGCGCTGTGCTGGACGGCCTCCAGAGCACGCTCCCCGCCTTGCGCCTCTGTAACATGAGCGCCCGAGGCGACTCCGTGGATGTGCGCTTGTTGGGCGTCGCTTGAGGGGGGGGGGGGGGCCAAGGCTGCAGAAAAGAAGCCCATTAGGGCCCGAAAAGTGCACCTAGGGGGCTACATGCGAACCCTACCCCTACCCTCCTTGGTTTCTGAGTGGGGGGGTGGGGTTCACTTCGGTCGGGCGCTCCCGAGCGAAGTGAACCCCACCCTCCCTCTCAAAAATCGTGGGGAGTAGGGGTAGGGTTCGCATTTGGTCCCCTAGCACCTCTCTTCCCTCCCCACCGACCGCCCCCGAGCAGTCGACACCCAAGCTGGCATCCCCAGACCCCTCCCGGGGTCCAAACGCACCACTTGTCCGAGCTGCGTCCGGCCGTGGCGACGACGGGGGGGCGTCCCCCGAAGCAAGGAGCCGAACTCTATACACACACCGACGCTTCTCCCGGCCCCGCACTGAAACTCGCACAGGAAAGCGGATCCTGGTGTACACATCGCCGTGGGGAAAGTTTCTTTCCAGTTGCCTTCTGGAATGACGCGCTCGTGCGGAGTAGTTCGGAGTAGCTTTACTAATTAAAATTACTCCGCGCGCAATCGCATCCCGCTCGATAATTTATATGGTTTGGCGCGGAGTAGTTTCCGATCCCGTTTTGGGGTAACAGAATTATTAACGTCTCCAGGATCGGAAACTACTCCGCCGAATGATCCCAGCATCATGTCATGTTAGGAATATTGAGAGGGATGGGAGAGATCTTCTTCATAGCAAATTGAACAAAACTTTTGCCACGGCTGTGTAGGGGACCCTGGTGTATGCATTTTTCGTCGTTTTCTGGGGGAACGGGGACAAAAAGGTACACACCGTAGCACCCCGACGTCGCCCCCGACCCTCAAGGAGAGTCCTGGGGGTGGGACAGCAGCGCGCCACTGGTAATGTGCACACGCTCCAGTTTCCGACGAAGGCCAGGTCCCGTTGTCTCAACTCGCCCTCCTCTGTCGGCTACACGCAAGAGTGACCCTGGGTAAGAGTGACCTTTGGTGCGCGGCTTTTTGGGGGCCGCGGGGGGACCAAACCTGGGCGCTCAAGCCGCTGCTCCTGCTTCGTCTTCAGCCGTCTGGGGACCCATCTGTGCCCGCACCAGAGGTCACTCCGGCGAAAGGTCACTCTTACGTCCAGTCGACTCTGGCACACCACCCGGACGGCGATGGACGGCGGAGGCGTCGCCGAGCAGCGCCAGGGGCGCGGCCGAGAGGCCTCTCGGCGCGCCGGCCGCGGCGCGCTCGGCCAGAGGCCGGCGCCGCCGCCGCCGCCGAGCGCCGCGCCGCTCAAGGCCCCCTCGCGCGTGCACGGCCCCCTCGCGCTCCGCGAGGAGCGGCGCGGGCGCCGGCCACCCGGAGCGCGGACCAGCTCGGCGTCGCCGCGCTCGCTGCCGCAGGTGCGCAGAGGGGCCACTCGCCATCGCTCGGACGTCCATTCCCTGTGTTTTTGTTCGGTCTCGTGCGTGGTCTTTCTCGCCAAATGATCAAGGATGCGCTTCGACTGTCTTCGCCGAAGGAGATATGCACACGTCCGAGCGATGCCGAGGCCAGGGAGGAACCAAGGGCGCCCAGGGGCGGCGCCGCTGCCGCGGAGCGCTGCGCCTCTCGGGGCCCCTCGCGCTCGCGGGGCACGCGGCGGGCGCGGCCGCCAAGGAGCGCGGAGCGGGCTCGGGGCCGGCGCGCTCTCGCTGCCGCAGGTGCAGCCAGAGCATGGTCACAAGAGCGTGGGCCAAGAGCAGCGCAAGGCCCAAGTCGGGGGTTTACTGACCCGGGTCGGTGCGAACTGGGATCACTCGGGCCTTGCAGGATCCTGCAGGATCCTGCGCGCTGTCCTGGGTCAGTGCGCCCCTGGCGCTGCTGGATCCTGCAAGATCAGGCGCTCTGGCTGACCCCCGTTTGCAGTGACCCCCGCCTCGTAACCCCCGACCAGGGCCCCACAAGCACAGAGCTCATGAGGGTGCCGCTCCAAAAGCTACAAGCCTCGTCACAAATACGCTGACACGCCGTTCAACGTCGTGGCGCTCGGTAGTTTGGACGCTTGCGAGAAAGCGCGTTCTTCAATGCTGTGATGGGCTTGCTGGATTTCGGACACACCTCCGTCTGGACCCAGCACCGTAAACAATGACCGCCAATTTATGTTTGACGAGTCTTGCACGGGTTCTTCTTAACCCTCGTGCCAGACGCACGCAGAAGGGCCCGGAGGAAGAAGGGCGCCTCATACGGATGAAGCGCACCCGGCGCCACATCGCTCGCGTTCCGGCTCCGAGGTGGCAGGCGCGGCACGGTGCGGAAGGTCGACCTCGCACTCGCCCACCCTCTTCGTGGAGCTCTGGGGAAGAGGCGGCGCCGCCACCAAGGGGCGGCCCCCTCCAGGAGGGCAGCCCGCGGCATCCTGAAGACAAGGAGCGCCGGAGGCGGCGGCCCGGCGGAGCGGCAGCGCCCTGGACGCCGAGCCCCTCCGCGGCGCGCAGGGAGCGCAGACGGCACGGGCGCCGACGGGCGCGTCCGCGGGCCCCCCGTCGGCGCCGCGGGTTAGGCGCGAGGCCCCGCAGGGAGCGGCGGCTCTGCGCTGCGCACCCCGCGCCGCGCAAGGCGCCGCGCGCGCGGGCGATCGGCCGCTCGCCGCCTCGGCGCCGCCGCGGCGCGCGGGGCCCGCGGGCAGCCCTGGGCTCCCCTGCCCGCCATAGGCGCCCCCGTGGCGCTCGCAAGGCAGCCCGCGAGAGAGCCCCGCGGACGGCCGGGCGGCCCGCGGCGCGGCACACGGCAGGCCCGGGGCCTCGGAGGTATACCTGGCCGTTCGCTC